TTCGAAGAAATGCACAGCGAGTCCCCCCATCTGCGCGCTCCCGCTTCCGCGTATCGGCTTTTGAAATGCAGATGATTTGACCAGTAAAGTGCACTTATTAAGGAAAAGTTCAACTGAGACACACCCTTGCTACAATTTCAAGCAAACAAATAATTGTTTTTAAGTGTTAATCTTGTTAATTCTTGTTAAAGTCCTCCCGTGCACGCTCCCACAGTCGCCATTTGGCAGCCATCTGATTTTTGGCACACCGGCCCACATTTCCAGGTCGTCAGTGGAGACGCGTAACAGATGCGACTTATACGGCGAAGCGACGTATTTATGGGGTTTTTTTCCACTTTATTAGACATATTTGTACTGTTTCAACTTATACGGCGGTGCGACGTGTACAGTGGCAAGTATGGTAATAAGATCTAAGATATGAACTAAGAAATACACTAAGCTAAAACTACGGTGAGCAATAGTAGTACAAAAACAATACGTTGAACTGCAGCAGTAGCAGCAAGATGGCTGACTGAGAACTTTTGTAAATAGTAAACTTTATATATAGTGCAATATACTTAATTACATTTTTCTAGAGATGTTTGGCTTCTTTATTGCAAAGGTTACGGACAACCCAAAATGTTGGCAGACAACCAGATTCTGTCAAGAAGCTGTCCACTGGACAACCGGAAAAAGTTTCTTATGTCCACCCCTGACAAGTATCGCACCCGCTTTAGATCCAAACACAGAAATATAAAATCCATAACAACCTCCAAATATGGCATGAATTCAATTTTGACAAAACCTCAACCTGAGGTCAGCATTTTTATGAGTTTTTTTATTACACTGTTAATCATGTTGGCTTTTTAAAAGCAAGAATATATTTAGTTTTTGCATTACGATTCTGAAGTTGCACCATTTCATGTTCAACTTTATGAATAAACGTGACAACAGAGGGCTTTCGCCAACTGCATCAAATTCAAATTGTGTCGATTGCCGCGCCACAGTGGAGGTACTCCAACAAGGAGTTGTTCAACTACTTTTGCAGTGTTTGCAATACTGTTGGCAAAAAGCACAACTGGATAAATGCATCAAACCTGCTAAAATGTACAGGAACAGCAAAAAGATGGAGAAAATGGCATTTAATCCAATTTTTAAAAGCCCATAAATGGGCTGGAAAGCCTTGCATCCATTACATCAATGCACCAATTGTGCAGTGATTGTAAAAAACAACAAGAGAGACCATAAATTTCACTTTTCTACTTTGTTTTCCTCATAAGGAGATTATTTCACACCAGTAACGAGGTATCATATCCAGAAAAACAAGCCTAAGGAAATAGATGTTTAACAACTGTTGGTCCTCATTCACAGTTCTCTCACAACAACACGGAGATAAGCTTTCATAACCCCTGGTCCCTTCCCAAAATCTTCTCCTTAGATCTGTATTGGTCTCAGAACTGGCTCAGATCAGGTTTAAAAAGCCACAAATCCAGACAAAGCTGAAAAAATCACAGCTACACAGACCAACAGCTTCTGGTCATCTTTTCCTTGACTTTGGACGGTAATTGGTAAAAACGTGTTTTCACAGTTAGATTGATGTGAGCAACCTCTCTAGTAGTTTCCCATCTTCTTCTTTCGGCTGCTCCCTTCTTCAGGGGTCGCCGCAGTGAACTTACTCACATGAAGACTTGGCGATCGTTTTTACGTCGGATGTCCTTCCTGGTACAGCAGACCACCGAGCTGCCACAGCTCTGTGTGGAGCAAAGAGCTGCCATCTAGAGTGCACCGAGGAGCAGATGGTGGGGTGTAAGGGCCTTGCTCAAGGGCACCGAGTGGGGCAAATGAGGGTGGAGGCAGGTGTGGATGCTTCACCTTTTCCACCCACATTCTGATGTTATCGGGGTGTCGAACCGTCAACCTTCCGAGTACAGGCTCGCCTTCTCTAACCTCTGCGCTACCTCACTCCCTCCTTAGTTTACCATCTAAACTAGAAAAATGTGTGCACTTACGATGAAAGAGACCTCAGTATTCTACTCAAATACACCTCCAATATGGTGACAGCTGCTTTGAGCTATAAATGCAACGTAAAAACACAAAAAATACTTGTGTGCAGAATAAAGAGTGATCCGGTACCCAGCTGAGAATGAGATTATTATCAAAATGAATGATATAAACCTTGAGTAAAGTATGACAGTGCGTTTCTAAAACAATCCAAAGTGAAATGGTCCCTCGCTACTTCACGGTTCGACATTCGCCGACTTACAGTTTCGCAGGTCTTCAATGTAAGATTGTACACGACACATGATTGGCTGATTGATGGAAGGCGACCAATCAGAGCATTGTGCTGAGTGGCAGACTGGCCACCCAGAGCACCGGGAAACTTCCCGGTGGCCCGGCCCGCCCAGTGACCACCAAAGTCCAAAGTCTTGTGACCAAAGTCTCGGCTCGGGCCGCACTCGACCACTTCAAATAAACTATCCATGCCGCTCACTCAGGCATCCGCTCAACCGAAGCTCCCCGAGCACCAGTGACGAGGAAAGGCAGATCCCACCCCCCGCTGCCAACCGCCACAGCAGAGCAGACATACAACTGGTGGGCGTGCAACCTGTTGTGTGTCTCTGCTCCACCGTGACAGACAGCCCCAGAGAGAGAAAGGAGGGGGCAGGGTGGGGTCTGTCCCGCCCCCTTCACTACCACCCAGGGAGCCCCAGTGAGGCAGACACCCAGTGAGCGGCATGGACCGTCCATCCAAAACAATCAAGCTCGACCAGAACCAAACCCCCGGTCCAGCCCCTCGGTGACCACCGCACAGGCCAGGCCACCGGGAAATGCCCCGTCGCTCCCAATGGCCACCCCGCCCCCAGGATTGGGTCAGTAACCATAGCATCAGTCTGTCAGCTCTCTTTCGCTGTGCTCTTTTAGAGCGTTTAGAGAGTTTAGAACATTGTTAAGAGCACTGCAAGAGTGTGGGAAGGATTTATAAAGCCTTAAAAGATATAAATACTAAAAATAAATATACCATACCATTCTATTTATAGAGCACTTAAAACAGCGACAAGGCCAACCAAAGTGTTGTACAGACAGAAAAACAGGTAACACACAAAGCAACATACAAAATGAAGTAAATCAGAATATCCTGATGCATGCTCAATAATCCAGGTAGAAAAATCCAAAAAAAGTTAAATCTGGTCCTATGGACATTCAAAAAAAAAAAAAAAAATGTAGAAACGTTTCGTCTCTCATCCGAGAGACTTCCTCAGAATGTCCAGAGGACCAGATTTAACTTTTTTGGATAAATCAGAATATAGACATAAAAACGATGCAGATAATAAATATGACTAACCAGTGTGGAGCGTACAGGATCAAAACACAGATCATCTTGAGTTGAAAGCTACTGAATAGTGGTGAGTTTTTAAACAGGATTTGAAAACAGAGAGTGAGGGGGCCTGTCTGACAAGCAGAGGCAACTCGTTCCAAAGTCTTGGTCCTGCTACAGAGAAGGCCCTGTCACCTCTGTGCTTAAGACGAGTTCCTGGAACTGTGAGGAGCAACTGGTCCGCTGACCTCAGGGAACGTGGTGGGACATACGGTTGTAGCAGATCAGAGAGATGGGGGGGGGACACTGTTCAGTGATTTGTAGACATACATGAGTATTTTGAACTGGATTTGAAGGTGAACCGGTAACCAGTGCAGTGAGGCCAAAACTGGTGTAATGTGCTCTCTTTTGCCTGTACTGGTTAAAAATCGTGCTGCTGCATTCTGGACCAGTTGTATTCGTGCAATGGAGGTCTGACTGATACCAAACAGGAGTGAATTGCAGTAATCAAGCCTAGATGTAATGAATGCATGTATTACTGTCTCCAGGTTCTTTTGGACAATATGGGCTTCAGTTTAGACAGCCGCCTCAGTTGGAAGAAACATGATTTAACAATCATGTTTACATGATTGTTAAGTTTCAGGGAAGGGTCCATTATCACGCCCAGATTAGTGACTCTTTGTTTTTCTGACGGGGTTAGAGCGGAGAGGTCGATGCAGTGGTTTGTGATTGTGTCGTTGGGAGGGAACAACATGACTTCAGACTTCTTTTCATTGAAACTTAAGAAGTTTAAAGCCATCCAGTCCCTGATGTCAGCCAGGCAGTCGAGCAGCGGTTGAATAGAGCACGTACCATTGTGTCTTAGGGGGAAGTAAATTTGACAGTCGTCGGCGTAGAAGCGAAAGGGCATGTTGTGTTTCTGGAAAATAGCACCAATATAGCGTTCCTACTTCGCAGTTTTTCACCTGTTGCGGGCGGAGTGTGGAACGTAACCCCCACAATAATCGAGGGACTACTGTACTTTATGAGTATAAATGTATCACAGAATGGAGATTTTTAAAAATTAGGGTTTGAGTTATAGATGTTAGACTAGTTTAAAAAAAAAAAAAAGGCTGAAATGGTATCTACTCTACACTTGTCTGATTTTGCTTTATTTGTTTTACTTACACAGACTACCGGTTATCGTAGGTCAGACATGTGACTCGAGCTTCCACGTGGTTTTCAGTGGATTCAGCAGAGGGCCTTGTTTACACTGAGAGTGGACCCGCATTGTTGATATGCTTATTAATATAGCCGGAACCTGCTGGAGTAAACGCTTTCCAGCTGTACACCATTTGATATAATTCACACTAATTGTTTATTACGCCGATTCTTACTTTGCTATGACTACATTAAACCTGTTCTGGTAAAAAATAGAAGCCTATAACAAAGCATCTGTACGACATATGACAAAAGCATTTGCATGGAAGGGTTTGTGCAGAAGTGCTGATCAACATAACTTTGAAAAGAAAAAACCATTACAGTAATAACAGCAGGAGGTGAGTCACGCACTGACTGAGCTGGTATTTGAACTTCATAGTCAGCAGTAAATGAATCTGCTCAGTGGAGTCAGACACACCTCATCATTGTAATTATCTGCTGGGGGGGGGGGATTAAAGGCAGCAGCCATGTTCAGCTGCAGGTGACCGTATTTAAAGCTGCTTACTTAATGAAGTAGCTGGTCCCAGCGTCGGTAAAGCCTTCCTCCCATCCCCGAGGTAGATCTGAAATTAAATAAAAATAAAAAATAAAAAACAGTTAAAGTTCAGTTTTCTAATGGAAGAAGCAGAAAGTCAACAGGGCGCAAATGTTCCGCGTGCACCAGCTTAGCTCGCGCACCTGAGCGGATCATGTGTCCGGAGTTCACGGGCTCTCCGGAGCGAGGATGGAGCCAGGTGGTGCTGCGCGTCTCGTCGCTGCGGCACCGACACACAGAGCGGGAGAGAAACACCTGTTACACCGCCGAGCCGAAAACACTCCGACAACTCCCGGTAAACCGGGAAGCGCGGGCTCGTTCAAGCTCTTTAACCGCACTCACTTGACGAAGAAGACCCGTCCGTCCCCGCGGACGCCGTAGGACCAGTGTTCAGGTAGGGCGTCCCGTCCGAGAGGCGCCGCCATGATCCGCTCCGAAGCTTCACGTGAGCGCCTCGCCACGGAGCTGCTGCCTTCAGGGACTCACGTCGCGTCCGGACATTCCGCAATCGGTGCGTGAGACAGCTCAAGCACGGACAGCAGGTCTCCAGTCTGCTCAGGACCTGCTGCAAACCAGTATCCGGTGAACCGAACCAGTACGACGCACAGCATTTACTGTCTCTGTGAAGCTTTCATGGAACAGGTTTACCGTCTTTATGATGGCTTATTTAATCATTTATCCTAATAAATGTGATTTTTCTTCATTGCACGTTACTAAAATGCAGATAATCTTTAAATTCATCTGTTGTCAACCATTTGGAAGTGGGGCTCGGTGAAATAAATAATAAATATCTTGCTTGTTTTAAGCAGAGTCAAACTTGTTTATACAGCTGTGGCCAAAAGTGCTTAACAATAAGATCAAGTAATTAGGATAATTAACAAAAAAAAAAGAAAAAAAGATGTAATTAAAAGCGTTGAAAGAAAAAACACAAAAACAATGAGAAAACAACGAAATACTAAATCAGATCATACTGTGTTGATCGTGTGTTTGGAGTGGACTGTTTAATGTTGGGGGGCAGATTGTTCCAGAGTTTAGGGCCCGATCTCCTCGGAGCTCCAGCTAAACAGCTGGTCAGATCATGTCAGTGTCCAAGAAGGAACATATGGATTGGTCAGAGAGGTATGAGGGTGCAAGGTTATTAATGCACTTAACGATTAACAGAAGAATTTTTAAAATCAACTTTGTTACGTACGGAGAGCCGGTGAGGGGAGGACAAAACTGGTGAAATATGATCAAACCTACGAGTTCCTGTTAAGACTCGAGCTGCAGCATTTTGGACGAGCTGGAGACGTAAAGGGACGCCTGACTGACCCCAACATAAAGAGCTTCACGGTAGTCTAGCTGGGTTGTAACAAATGCATGGACTATTTTTTTTTTTTTTCAAACAGATCTGATCAACACGGACTTCAGCTTAACTATCTGCCTGAACTGGAAGATGTTTTTTTTATTATAGAACAGAGTTAATCTGCTTATTAAACTTAAAGTCAGAGTCTAAAACCATCCCAAGATTTGTAACAGACTGCTGAGGATAAGGCTCAAGAGAGTCAAGGTTAACAGGAACAGTAGGGTTAAACACAGTTTTTTATTTTTTATTTAAATAGTTATAAGCTCTGTTTACTTGACGCCATTTTTAAGTAAAGCTGTAGCGTTTCTGACACCGAAGCTCTTTGAACCCAAGTCTCAGAGTGGAGGGTTTTGGGAACTCCTGGCATCCGTGTGGAATTGCACATGAGCACTACAGACGGCTGCAATAGAATAGTTTGAACAGGTGAATAGTTTTTCTGTGTTTGCCCAAGTAAATGGGCAACGTTCATTTAGATGGATAGAGGCGTGTGTTTGTGCTACTCGCTCCTGTAGATTGAAGTGGCTGCGTGCATGCATGTGTTGGCTGAATACAAAAATCCCAGCACCAGCTAGTGACCTGGCATGGAAACTACAGCAGATTCAACAAGCGCAGCATTACCATGTAAACATGGAACTTATCGTATCCAGAGATCGGGGCTTTAGTACAAACGGAGTTTAAGTTCAACGGGATTGATGAGCTAACAGCAAACCAACTAAACCAGCTGAAACTCTGGTAAACTCCCACCACACCATCAGTTTTGCATTACATGATTATTCACTCAGATTTCTGTGGTGATTTGTTCAAACCAACTACAGCAGCACGATGCCGTGCAACATTAACAGTGACGTAAAGGTTTGAAAAATGGTCTTCATATGAACATCTTTGAAGTTTTAAAGACTGGAATTCAGTTAGGATGGCAAAATTTGTTCTGGAAGTGAGTCCACTTAAATCATATGGAAGAGCTCGAGGGGACGTACTTCCAAAGTGAATTTTGTCGTCTTTAAACAACTCCAATCGTCAAAACCTTTATAGCTTTTCATGCAAACACTATTATTTTTGTCATCTATTTTGCGTCATGTAGTTGATTTGGCAGAAATTTTATAAAATTCCTGCTGGAATTAGCAGCTGCACCTGAAGTGCTGCACCTAACTGACTTAGCTATTTCTGTTAGCCAATAACCACAAACTGTTATGTAAATCACAGCGTATTTAAAGACTTACAGCCATGTACAGGTTTTGCATAAACTTCTACAAAATGTTGAACATTTTGGTTTGTTTAACGATTAAAGCATTCCACTTGGATTTCAGCTGCATTCGGACAACTCTGATTAGACAAACATAGTTATTCAAAGAGCTATCTACAGCAGGTAAGATATTAACTTTTCACAACTTTCATAGCAAAACCCATTCACGGGCCTAGCTAGACTTTTAGTAACTTTGTTCCATTTTGCTTGAGAGTGTAGGGCATTAAGCATAAAGTAAGAATATATCATATGACCTACCATTTATTGTGTATGGGTAATTTTGTTGCTATCAGTTTGATTGCATTCATATAGTCAAAGCAATATTTGTTTAATTTAAGCATTAAAACCAGATATATTCACCAAAAAATAAACAAATGCCTCCTTTTAGTGTTTTTCTAAGTTTTAATTTGTGAAATGGAGAACACCTTTGGGCTGCTTGGATTAATTTCCTCTGTGGTGATCAGAACTTGTAAAGATGGGAGATGTTATTAACTACATCCATCCATTATTACCTTTATCTTCTTCCTTTTTGGGTCGTGGGGGTCACTGGTGTCCATGTCCAGCAGTCACTGTGCGAGAGGCGGGGGACACCCTGGTCAGGTCTCAGTCCATCACAGGGACACAGAGACAAATGAGACAAACTCTCTCTCTCACCTCGGGACATTTTAGAGTTACCTGTCAGTCTAACATACATGTTTTTGGTCTGTGGGAGGAAACTGGAGTACCTGGAGCAAACCCACCACACATGCACAGAGAGAACATGCAAACTCCACCCAGAAAGGTCTCGAGCCGGGATTTGAAGTGGCAACCTTCTCGCTGAGAGGCAACAGCTCAACCAACTGAGCCACCGTGCTGCCCCAAAAAATATTAATTAAAAAAAAAAAAAACTTCAGGGCTTAATGAAGCTACAGCTAGACTCAATGTTGACGGACCTGATTGTTCCATATTTTCCTAACAAAGCACTTTGCTCTCAGACTGCAGGTTTACTTGTGGTTCCTAGAGTTTCCAAAAGCAGAATGGGAGGAAGATCTTTCAGTTCTCAGGCTCCTCTCTTGTGGAACCAACTTCCAGTTTCTGTCCGTGAGGCTGACACATTGTCCAGTTTTAAAATTAGGCGGAAGACATTCCTTTTTGATAAATCCTATAGTTAGGGTCGGCTTGGGTTTCCTAAGCTATCCCTTAGTTCTATAGGCTTAGACTGCTGGAGGACAAATAAACCACATTTCCTCACTCTGCTGCTGTCTTTACTTGAGCTACTCTACCTGTTTGTATTTGTCATCATTTTTATCTTCACATGTTTTTGTTGTTGTTGTTGTTGTTGTTGTTATCTTTCCTCCTATAGAACGTAAACCTGGACCTGTCATTCTGTTTGTTTCTCCTTCCTCTCCTCTCAAACCCCAGCTGGTTGAAGCAGATGGCCGCTCGTCCTGAACTGGAGGTTTCTTCCTGTTAAAAGTGAGTTTTTTCTTTCCACCGTCTCCTTTGTGCTTGCTCAGGGTGGGAGAGTGACGAAGACTCAACACAATCTGCTGCTTCTTTCAATACATAACTTTTACTAATTGGCTTTTTTAACTATGTGAATGTTTTTGTACAGTGCCTGAGACAACTTCTGTTGTGACTTGGTGCTATATACCACCAAACTGAATTGATTTATTTCTAAGTGGGTGGAAATTATTATGTCACAGCCAAGATTTTAATCTAATTTTACAAGACTGATTGCAGCCATGTTTATTTTTTTTCTTCACTCAAAATAAAGTTATTTTATTTCTTACATAAATTGTGTCATTGTTGTTGATTCTAATGGAATTTCACTGCAAGATGTAAAATCAACAAGAAGCAATATTATACCTGCGTACTTAAATAATTATTTATTCTGTCCATCAGTAATATGAGCTGAGTGAACACAGTCTTGTTGGTCTCCCAGCATGTCAGTCACTAATGTTTACTTCCAGCAAACACACTATTGTTTGCCGTCCTCGCTGCTCATTAAGACAAATAAAAGCCCACGTCAGCTGTCAGGCACACGTTGTTCTGAATCGCTCTTCAGACACTTGGAGCTCACCGGAATTTATTTTTCCAACGCAAACTCAAAACTGGGCGAGACGTGCGGTGGCACGCTCATAACATGCTTACAAAAACACGCCGTCGTGCTTTCGTGGAGCCCTGTCATTTAGAAATCCACACCTGGAACAAAGACGCTCGAGTCGTTCTTTAGCTGCCGAGAACCGCCTCACTGAAAACAGACGTCGTGAAAAAGCACCGAACGCAGAACGAAAGGGGCTTCGCTGTGGAGAGCTTCTCGTTTCCCCACACCCTGGAGAGAAGGACTCCTGAGCAGTGCCAGCCCAAGTCTCCACTGGGCCCTAAGCAAAATTATCTATTTCTGCTTATAATGTGGATTACTGCACCAGATGATCAGATCATTCACACCTAACAAACTCATCACAACTCTGACAGCCCTGTTCACATATATCTAAGGTGTAGGAGCCACAGAAATGGTTATGGTGGGCCAGATTTGGCCCACGGGCCTCGAGTTTGACACATGCGATCTAGTGGTACTAAAAGTAACAACAAAAACGTGAGTGTGCAATGTATTTTACAGCAAAAGTGTCATCTGGTTTATTATCTTTGGTTCCTGCAACAGTAATATTCAAAATAATTTGTAGTGCAAGATCAACAAACAAACAGATAAAATAACTTGGATGCATAAAAATAAATTAATTGTGCAAAAACAGACAAATAAAATATTAAATAAAATATCAAGGAAATACTTAAATTATGTAAATGAACAATTACCTGAAACCACGTAAACTGGTTTAAATAAAGAAATTTAAAGTTGAATCATTGGTTCTTAAAACTATGTAA